GTGTGCTGGGAGGGGGGAAGAATTGTTGAAACAATGTCCTTGAGGACAGGAGATAGAATCTAGTGCACAGAGATTGCTTTAGTATAAGAGTAAGGATTATTCTTCCGATACTTGGTAGGAAGGAAAAGTATGAAAGTGCAGATATTGGAAGAGGGCCAGCTATGTTAGAGGGAATCTGTGGAAGTTGTAAAGGCTTCCAAGGAGGAAAAACAAAGAAGACATAGCAAGGGATTAGGAATCAAAATGGTTTTAGATTTCTCAATGGCAACACTAGAATCTAGCAGACACAGGATAAAGGCATTTAAAAACCTAAGGGAAGGTAATCTGTAACCTAAGAATTCTATACTCAGCCAAAGTATGATTAAATGAGTAGTCCCAGCTACTTGGGAGGCTGAGGCAGCAGGATTGCTTGAGCCCAGGAGTTTGAGGTTGCTGTGAGCTAGGCTGACGCCACGGCACTCTAACTTGGGCAAGAGAGTTAGATTCTGTCTCAGAAAAAAAAAGATTCATATATTCTGTAGGTGATGGGATATTCAAACTCTGAAGTACTTTTTAACACTCTTTTGTTATTTGTGTTGCTCATAGAGTCAAACTTGAAGGGTCCACTCATCTTGCTTACTTCCTTTTTTCTTTTGGTTTTGGCTTTTCAGCCAGCATTTATGTCAACTGTGACTGGCAGCATTTGGCGCAGTGGGTGAAGCAAGTCTTATTTGAAATCGTGCCCAAGGCAGCCTGTGGAAGCTGCTACAACAGGAAGCAGCTCCACTGGTGGTTGCCTTGTCCAGGTTCCCAAACACAGAGGGAGGCATCCCCAACAGAAAGAGGAAGTGGTTCTCTATCCCTCACCTCCAGACCCACAAAGAGTCCCCCGCCCTGTCGAACTAGTTTTCTGCAGAGCCCTTACGCCTGTCAAATGATCACTGTTCTTGAGATGGAGACATACCCAATGAAGTCTCAAGGAAACCGGAGAGCAAGCAGAGGATGCTGGTCAGCAGAGAAAAAAGAGGGAAGAGAGACAAGTAGAAAGGAGAGACACTGTAGCTTCTGAGAGACAGAAAGCCGGAGAGAGGACAGAGCTGTCTCTCTCTGGGTAGTGTTCCATTTCCCACTTACAGGTCTCGAGGCTCAGGTGGATCAGGAACCAAACTAAAAAGCAAAGCCAGCTGGGAAACTCCTGGGCTCAAGCGATCCTCCTGCCCTCAGCCTCCCAAGTAGCTGGGACTACAGGCATGCACCACCATGCCCGGCTAATTTTTGTATATATATTTTAGTTGGTCAATTAATTTCTTTCTAT